CCTGCTTTGCTGTACTGCATGGCCCACCGTGTTTCATAGTCCAGGAGTCTGAACTCAATTAGCAACATGCTGCCAGCCAGACATAAGCCCATGGATAGGCATCCTAGTCATGGCAGATAAAAGCCCCAAACAATAGTTCAGTCCAATGTCATTCACTTTATATAAAAATAGAGTTTAAAGCCACTAACAGAACAACTCAGAATATTTAGTTGCAACAGTCAGAAGCTTTTCCATCCTTATTCAAGCGCAGGAGGATGGGAGACATCTAACCGCGTGGTAGCTAATGCTGTTACTGCCTCTCCTTCGCCTCTGCAATCTGTCCCTCAGCTGCCCGTGTGCCTAGGCCTCTTCTTATAACCTATGTACTCTAGGCCTTCCAGATCGTCTCTAAAACTTGCCTCAGAGACAAGATGGAAATGGTGTTTTTGTGGATGGCTCTTGTCTTCCAAACTGAGAAAGATCGGACAGGGAAATGTAGCGAGAGCTCTGGGCTCTCTGTTGTGTACTCTTATGCTGGCAAACCTGGGAAACGTGTCAGGCCATTCTGCTGAGATGTCCCCTACAGCAGGAAATCCAGGATGTTCATGCTGTCTGACATGGCTGACCCAAAATATTTTACACCAGCATGCCAGACTCCCTAAGCAAGCTGGCAACAGCAGTACACAAGGCACTGAAGCAGCAAGTTTTTAGGACTGGATCTGAAGAAAAAGCAACAAGAAAAGGAGGCCTGAACCAGGCTCTTGCCTTGTATGTGGAGGACAGGAGAGAGGACCTATCTGGCTTAAAGCTGTTTTGCACCTTAAATGCCCTGCTGTGAAACAGACCTTTCCTCTCCCAAACCTTGCTTTCTAAAAGCTTTCCAAACGTAGGGGAACAGCAGTGAAGCCCATTTAGAGGAACTCCTGCCAATGAGAACCCAAGGTCATAAAAAACCTAGCATGAGTAAGCATTTAGGCTTTTCTGGATCAGCTCCTACTGTCAGAGGGACAATGACTCTCACTGCTGTCACCAATGGACTAGCGTCACTTTGGGCTACTGCTTCATCATCTACCAGATCAGCTGGCATGACAGTGAGACTAAAGATCTTCTGGGGATCTTTCCTTACTTCCTAGAGTTTCATCCAGCATCTTGTGAAGGATCTTGCTCTGTCTCTGCCATTGCAGCAGAGCAAGAGTGCAATTCATCTTACTGACTGTAGCATTTCTACCCTGTCCTTGCCCTGTGATGGCACTGGGCCAGGGACTTCTGCATGGAGATGTGGATGTGTGTGTGGGTACTCAATGGAATCTGCGGTTGCAGAGAAAGAAAAACCTTTGAACACCCCTACCCGAAACACTTGCTGCTTTTTCCCATTCTCCTCCAGGACCTCCACTGAGTTTCTCAATGCATATCCCCATACCCCTCTTCACAGTGCACATTTGTAGCCCCACAGAGTTTTTTTGGGTTGTTCCTGTCCAAACTCTGTAAGAGTAACTGGCCTATTGCTTTGAATAGAAGAGATGCAAGAATCTAAATATTAAACAGTGAGTATTCCCAGGTCTGTGAAAATCAGGCATACATTCCCTTCTTTCTGAAGAACTGTTCTCAAATATTTGGCAATGTAATTTTTTTAGTGTTAAAAATCCCAACTCAAGCCTCTCATTAGCAACCAAAAAATAATCAGTGCAAGATACTGGAGATGTTCTGTGAAAACTGAAGTTTGGATGCAGAGAAAGATGGTGGGTAGGAATACAGAGCAACTGAAAGGACTGTGAGAAACGATGTATTTTTAATCTTTATGGGTAAAAGCCAATAAGTGAAGAAAGTAAAGTTGTTCCAATATGAAATATGGGAGAGCGTGTGGGAACTATGGTTTTAGGACCATATTGCATTGGGAACCATAAACCAAAAACTGAGCAAAACACTGCCAGATTTTCCTAACATAATCTTAGAGAATTCCATTAGCATCTACCAGGTGGCAGAACATAATGAAACTAGAACACAAGTTTTAAGGGAAAACAAGTAGGAACCAAATGGAGCAAAGCAGAAAAACCTCAGATTCATATGAACATTTGGAGACACAGGAAATTCCAATGGCTTGCAAGAAATAGTCGTGAAGATGTGAGAGCAAACAGGAGTCTATGCACTGTCGCACTGGAGAGGACTTCTTACTGTAACTGTTTAAGAGACTTTTCTGCCCAGAGCCTGGATTACTGTTTTCTAAGCAGGATCCTTGACCACATGTAGATGTGATACCTAAACCTGCAGTAAGGGATTTCAGAGAAACCTAGTCATATAAGTGGGCTGCTATGGCTAGTTGGCTAACTCAGTTGTAAAAATATATAAACATTATTAAATGGTGGTGTTTTTATTTATATCCAAAACAGGGCTGAACATAAGGGGTGGCATTCAACTAATTTTCACAGCAAACATATCCAAAGAAGCTAGACGCTAGAGTGTTTCCTTAGAGTTATAGAGAAGAAAATGTCTCTCTAGATATTGTGCACTGGAAGCACATGTTCCTCTCTATTAATGAGAAGGCTACATGAGACTTAAAATTTTGTCACACAGGACAAAAATCTGCCAAAATGATGCCAAATGCAAATATGGCTTGGTCTGCCTATGATGTATCTAGACTTCATGACAATTTCAAAAGGACTGTTATGTTTTGGAGTAGATTATAGGCAAATTACTGTGTGATTTGCTCCTAAAATTTTAAAGCAAGAGATGGTGAACAAGATACATGATAAGCACCTATATATGGAAAAATATAAAAGCTCTCAGCTAGATCTACATTATATTGGCTACAAATGAAAGCAGATATAGAAGAAAAACTCACAGAATGTGAGATATTAAAGGAAATAACATTTATCGAAGAAAATCGTCTGTGATGTTCCTCCAAGAAACATTAGATTCATGGCCTGGAATACTCATAGATTACTTCTTCTTTCCTGGAAAAAATATGTATTGGTTTTGGAATACTGTCTTTAATACGCCAAAATAGTCTGATTAGAAAATATGAGAGTTAAACGTGATTTCCAATAACAAGAACATTTGTTTACTAGAATAGCATACTGGTTGTGACAGTGAAAAAAGAGCACTGCCATTTGGTGGTCTGGAATTTATACATACAACAAACTCATCAGGATTTGAGGCATAATACTGCATATAGGTACAATGTAATGGGCTGGGAAAAATGATGTAAAATGATAGCAAGGATGATTCTAAAAACTGAAGAACTCAATTCAGATCCTCCTTTGGCATATCTGATTTATAGTCTTGAAGTCTAGACTGCCACCTGCTGAAACACTGTTCAACAGGAATCTTAGGCTTAATAGGACTCAATTGCTAAAACTTAACTTTCACCCTATTTCTTTCTTCTGACCCTTGGTGTTCTGTGTCCCATGGATAATATTGATAGAACTGTGGCTAAACTGGGGACTTTCTGCCCCTTGATTCCCCACATAACTGTTAATCTCCCCTCTGCTGATCGCTGTGATTTCAGCAGTTTCTTTCCCTGCGATTTGCCTGTTCATCCACTACCACTGGACTCACACTGCTGTCTTTAAGACATTAAATTAGTCAATACAGACTCAGCTTTTGCCCTGTTTTCATGGGACAATCTAGACGCAGCAGCTGACAAGCATGTTAGGGTCTTTATGGTTGCAAGGCCGTATGGACATAGGTGGTACATGTCCCCACAACATGGGCATAAGAAGCAAGGTGAAGATGTACCTTGTTACATTTTCCTGAGCACGGGGTGTTGATGAAAAAACATGACACCTGTGTAGTGTTTTCCATAGAAAGAGAAGGACATGAGAAGACTTGCAGGCTTCAGAAAAAAACCCAAGATCCAAACCAGAGGAGGCTGCAGAAAAATCAGTGGGTTGCGTAGCATCAATGGAGATTAAAATCCATTCAAGTGCTCTGGACATGGTTGGCATTTCAGATGCTAAAGAAGGATTGCTGAGATGTGGTTTGGTTAACTTGCCGTGTGTGTTTATCCTCCGGAAACAGTGCGGTAGGAGGATAGCTGACCCTTCCAAGATGGATTGTGGTTATGTCTTTTCACCCCAGAGTACGTCAGGAAGGAGCAGGAGCCTGACGTTGTGGGCTGTGTGTCCTTTGGGACTGCAGATCCTGTGCAGCAGTTGTACCTCTGAGGCACTTTTCTGGGATGCATTCATGCATTTCCTGAAACTGGGGTATCAGACCACATTCCCTGCTCACATTTACCCTAAGAATTATCCAGGGTGACATGTAATCTCCAGTCTCATCCTTCCACCTTTATTTTTACTTTTTTTTTTTTTTTTTCATCCTACATGAGCTCTTATTTTCATAGGTGAGCTCCTACGTTGAGCCATGGGGCTTGCAGTACGGGCTGTGGCACACGGAACGATCGAGCTCGCAGCATCCCATCCGTTAACGCCAACATTTGAGTTTTTTAGTGACCAAGGAAAACCCGTTTCACCTCTGAGATATTCCTTTTCCTGCACATCAAATAGGTGTGTGTCATCACGTGGGTATCTCTTACATTGACTTGGTTTCATGGGAAGGAGAGGAACGAGCTCTGTATCCCCTTGCTCCATGGAGCACCGGTACCCTCTAGTGGTAGAACCGCAGAAATCGTTAGGTAAAAGATGATTTCACTACAGACTTATCTTCTGTCTTCCTCTTGTACCAAAATCTGCACCTCATCTTTAACTGACAGTGCTGTTCTGTTGCATGATATCATAAATTCACACCTTTAATTTAAATAGCTGATGATGTAATTTCCTTGGACTGTTTTCAGTGCTTTTCACCTTTCATGAAATCATTTAAATGATACGTGTGAGCTGATGGGCGACCGAATTTCCACATGGTATAAAGAAATGGTTCTAATGGAAAGCATCACGTAGCAGTAGCTCAAGGCTTTAAATGGAGAATCAGTGATGGTTCTGCTGTAATGTGGCAGGTTGTAGGGGTTTTATAGCTAATTAAGGGAATTGTCTTGTGTTGGTTGAGTTCTGAACAGTTTGCCCATGGCGGTGCAGGGCAGCTGGATCGTGGTTCTTGGGAAGCCAGCGCGGTTTTCTAGTTGTAAGGTGGGGACAGCAAGGTATGGTGTGGCAAAGCAAGCTTGAGGGCATGGCAGGAACATTGCAGAATTGTTAAATTATGCCAAATGCCTGGGGCAGCAGGAGTGTGGTTATAGGTAGATGGCAAAAGACACATTCTGGACCCAAAGGCTGTTTTCTACCAATCACATAACCCTTGGTTTAGAGAATGGCTGGTGAGTGGGAGAAGTCAAAGAAATCCAGAATGGTTTAGCAGGAGCAAACACATTTATTTCTGTTCTAACTTTGCTCAAAAGGCTGATCTATAATTTTCCTGCATAGGAAACATCAGTCTCAACCACTAATGGTAGGAAAGCCACAACAAAGTAAACTGTTGCCTGTTCCTTACATGAAGGGTGCTAGTAGATGCTGTTTGGAGGAAATATCCCCCTCAAAGGCAGCACAAGCTATCTGGAGCTCACCTCTCTCATTTTACTCCAGCTGCAAAAATGTTTCAAGTGTTCCCCGTACATGAAGGAAACAAAGCCCCAAGACAGGCCAGAGGATGAGTCTCTGAGCTGAGCCCCTTTCCCTGTGGTCATTGATCCATGCTGCAGGCCGTGCAGAGATTTATTCAGCAAGAAATGAAATCACACTTTAGGTGTCAGATTGAAATTCAAAACAGGTAGTACAGACTCAACACAGTTTGAGTCTTAATAAGTTTTTTTCCCTCGATGATTTCAGTACCTAATGCCTACTTTTTTTTTTTTTTTTTTTTTTTTAAATGTACCCTAGCTATGAAAGCAAGGGATACAGAGCCTTTATGGAGACATCTTTCCAATTTATTCACTAAGCTCTGAAATATTTCCATGGCCACCTGCCCCTCTGTTCCTGTGGCTCCTGTATGGGAGCACATTAAAATGCCCATGATCTAGGTACATGAAGTACCAGAATATGATCTTCCCCTACTCTGCTTCACAGTAATCACTTATGAGACTCCTTTGATTTTTCTTTCCTCTTTATGTATAAAAGACTTTGAATAGCTTGAACCTGGGAATAGTTTTACAAAGCAGATCAATGTGACTTTAGATTGAACTGAATTGGATTTACCAGCAGTGGGAGTTAAATTTTCTGTCAAATCTCTGTGTTCTGGAGCCTCACAGACAGGCAATAGCACAGGGGCAGTGATTTATCATGCACTATGTTTACTGGAGAGCAGAACTGAACCCTTCCTATTGTTTCTCTTTTAATCCTTTTCATCTTTTCATCTGCATAGAAATGAGTGCAAAAAGAATAAAAAGAAATGCAGTGCAGTTCTCAAGGGAGGGTTTGTCCTGGTGCTGTATTATATTGAGGCGTTTACTGTTTCTCAGGTCTCAGGATGTGCCAAATAGATTAATTCCACTATACCTGCAGTGCCATTTTGTGAAAGACAAGGCACATCAGCTTGGAATAGATCACCTGATCATTACAGTCCCCTGCCATACAATATAATCCCTTCTCAAAATGCAGCTTCATCCATTTCATTCCAGAAGAATGCGGTTAATTAATGCATATCTGTCCCAGGACCATTCTGATTCAGGATCTTGACATGATTTCTTGACTGCCAAGACCCCCTTGTCCAGGTTGAGAGAGCTTGATCTTCATGAGCACCCACCTCACTGCTCACAAAGTAGCATTCCCTGAAGGTCTCTACCCAGGATTTTAAAGGCAATATCTCCAATGCAAATACAAAGAGCAGTAACAATGTTGTGGATTTTCCTTTTATTTAATTCCAGGTTTCTGATTGTCTTGGGGTGTTTGATCTTAGCTGTCCTGACAACTTTCAAGGAGTATGAAACTGTTTCAGGAGACTGGCTCCTCTTGCTGGTAAGTAGACTGGCCACTGCATCACCCCGGTAATGTCCTTGAATTGAAATCAGTCCCATCAGCAGTGATGGAAACTTACTCCCAGCTCTGCATGCAGTAATATTTCTTCTCTTGGTCCTGGAGCAGTGACCGTATACTTACGTATTGGAGAGTTCCTGGTCCACTGTAAGCACTGACTGAGTAAAAAGAAAGTAAGGAGAGAGGAAAAATATTATCCCAAGACTTTTAAATAATGGCTTTTCAGAATTTGCCTAACAGTTCTCCCATCAAAGTATCAATAATTTTCCTATTGACTACAACAGACCTGAGCACGTTTGAAAACTCATTTTTTTGGATCTTCCAACAATTTTGATTCATTCTATAGTACTCTACCAATCCCAGCATTTTTTTCAGGGGAGGTCATCATAATTGGATTCATGCTTGTGCCCAATAGCAGCATAACTGAAATTGTTTCAAGCAGTGCCTCTGATGACTATCCATGAGAGAAAAAACATTTGCAGCAAATATATTCCTTTCTCTGTGTTTCTAGCATGCTTGTTTTATAAATGCTGGAGTTTATGCTCAAGACTGTGTCTCTGTAGGCCTCCCATTTAGCAGAAGAAGATAAATATAAAATAAAAAAAAAATAAATACTCACTAATTATGAACATGTGTTAATCATATTATGAAAATTACCTTAACAAAGAACTTCATCTACTCCCATAGTTATCATGAAATAGAGAACATGATGTCTCAATTAGCCTGGCCTTGTAGAAAAGCATTCCTAGAGAAACTGCACAGCAAGAGTAGTTCCAGGATCTCAATTTCCATTTCCCCTTGTACCCTCAGAGACATGTAGATCCGACCAAGAACTAAATGCCAAGAGGTATGAAAGGTGAATTCCCCTTGCATGTTCCTTCTCAGAAAGCATCTGTATGAAAACACCCTCATTCCCTAGGGAATGTGAAACTCTCTTTTGGTCCCTGTAACCCTGCTCAGACCCATCTGTTCACATTTGAAAAAAGACTGAGATTATTTTTCCTTCTCCTGTGCCTGCTTTTATGTGGCTTTTGGTGTTTTTCAGAAGTGCCTAGCAGCTGTGGGTATGAGCATCAGGAAAAATCCACCTTATCATTTTTTCCCAGAGAGGAAAAGTATCTGTGCCCCATGCTGCCCTTGGCCCATCTCTGCTGAGTACCTTGGAAAAGCTCTCACCTCCCCATAAACCTCCCAGTGCTTAGAAAGCTTTTAAGTGCAGTGGAAATCCCATTCTGTACACCAGAAATTTAAGGGGATAATATATGACTTAATTTTGTCTTATATATACCTTTATCACTGCCTTAACTCTGACCATCTGAATATACTGCATCATGTCCTTGTGTCTCTAGGTATGGCCGCATGAACGAGCTGCTATGTGTAACCCGGGTGTGGGTGTACAGTGTACTGGGGACTTTGCAGTCACCACTCATATGTCTTCTAATTTAGTGTGAAATAGGAGGTCATTTGGTGAAGTAATTGCCCTTCCATCAAGGCAACTTAAGCACTTCACAAATACATAACAGCAGAGGCACATCCTTTCTGCAGAGTACTTAGCAGACTGCAAAGCTATGTCCCACTTTTCCTTGCCTCTTTCATTAAGCTGTATTCACCTCCCCACTTTTGTCCTCTCTCACACACATACCCCAACACTTGCACCTCATCTGTTTCTTTCAGCTATATCCTGGTGTCCAGAATTACTCCAAAACGATACGAATCTAACAATGTAGTTTGTGTCTTTGATACAGGAAACTTTCGCCATTTTCATCTTTGGAGCAGAGTTTGCCTTAAGAATCTGGGCTGCTGGATGTTGCTGTCGCTACAAAGGATGGAGGGGAAGACTCAAATTTGCCCGGAAGCCTTTGTGTATGCTGGGTAGGCACATGTTCTGTACTACTCTTTTCCCTGTTATGTCCTTTTCCTTCTGAACCAGCTGGAAGGATGTCCAAGAACCAGTGAATGGCAGTGCAAAGAGCACTGAAATCAGATCTGCCCTTTGTACTATGAACTGTGTTCTGCTTGGAGTAGTAACTTGAAGTACTCAGCAATGATTCATTTGAGAGACACCTGAGTGACTGGTCAGTGAGAAAAAAAATGGGTCCTTCTACTCTTCAAACACATTTTCTTTATCCTGAGTCCCACTGCATTTTTCTTAAGCTCATCCCAAAATACACCCAGTCTGACTTCGGTTTCAAACCCCTTCAGATGCCAACCATCTACCATCTCCCTCAGCCCTCCTTCATATTCAAATGTTATATTTTACCTTTGCAGTGTTGGTCTGCACTTGCAAACAAGTATCTTTGTGATTTCACCCATGTTATCTTTCAGACTTGGAAGGCACTGACTTCAGCTATCATAAAACTACTCATTATTCATGTTGGAATCCCCTCCTAAAACACCCCATTATGTCCAAACACCAACCAGCCAACATCTGGGAGCTCACTCTGCCCTGAGCACCTGTCATGCGTATTGGTTCACTGTTTCCAGTATTCCCTCATTTATTTTCATAATCTTCAGGTCAAGCACTAGCTTTTTGTTCTTTCTTTGTACAGCACACAGCACTCTGGGGAGCCGTGGTGCTGCAGTTGTATGAATACATGCTACCCTCTTCCCTCTCCCTCCTTTAATTCATTTTATGGGTCTGAATGGTAGACAAAATTGGAACAAATATTTTTTGTGCATCTGTGCTATCTTCAATTTAGTACTGCTCCTTTGGGTGCTACTGTTATATAAATACTTCTGATACTTCTAATAGCATTGTGAAGGTAGCAGAGCGCAGTGCGAGCAAGTGGGATTGATACTGTCTCATGCCTTCTCAATAAAAGTGTCATCTCACTTCTGAGAATGAATCTTCATTGATATCTGGGTAAAGAATAGAAAAGATCCCACTGGATTGGTTCATATCACTGGCACAAGTTTGTTTTGAGAATGATTGAAAGTTAATAAATCTGAAACCAATCTGGTGCCACTCTTTTTGATTGGAAATCTAATGTGATGACAATTTAAAGACTGAGTGCCTGGAGGATGTTTGAAACCCTCTGGTATCACATTTTACTTGTGTATGTATAGGATCAAACAGTAGGGGGGAAAAAGAAAAAGAAAGTAAAAGGAAAAAAAAAACCCCAAACAAAAACCCAAGAAGCAGCAGCAATGTGATTTGCATTTCAATCCTCTTCAGCTCGTCAGCAAATTGGCACTGTGAGTGCTTACAGAAAATAATACTGGCTTTAAGATTTTAGTGGGAAAACTCAGCCAAAAGAAAAACATACTAGATGCACCATCAAAACCTGCATTTCTTATCTTCTGACCTATATGTCTGCCTTCACAATGGTCTTCCTGTGGGACATGATGGATTTCGGGTTGCTTTTCTGTCAGCACTAGGAGACTGTTTCTGTGCATCCCTAAGCTAGCTCAGTGTCTCAAGTCCAGTGCATTGATCTGTACACAGATTACGAGTCTCTCCAGTGGGTTCTGTGCACGATGCCGACTGCGTGGCAGGTGCAATATCTGTTTAATTGGCAAGAGAATGCGTTTTCAGGCAGCTTTAAAATTTGCCCAGGGAAATTTGCAGCACAACCAGATAGGATTAAGCAGCAGGTGATGGGGCCACTTTTGTTGGCAGGCTTTTGTTCTTTTCACCTTGCAGATATCTTTGTGCTGATTGCTTCGGTGCCAGTGGTTGCTGTTGGGAATCAGGGCAATGTTCTGGCCACTTCTCTCAGAAGCCTCCGCTTCCTTCAGATCCTACGGATGCTCCGAATGGACAGGCGGGGTGGTACATGGAAACTTTTGGGATCAGCCATTTGTGCACATAGCAAAGTAAGTGAGGAGCTTGCACAGCTCAGCTGGGGTTTGTGGGAGAGATGTTGAATGGAAAGAGAGGGGATGCACAGGTACAGCAATGCCTTGGGATTATGGCTAGCAGTTCAAGCAATCATTTTGTCCTTTCAGCTTTATTCCTTCTTCCATTCTCTGGACCATATCTACCCCTTGTTTTACCCTTCTCGACTCCACAGTGGTACTGAGAAGTGATAAGCGTGTTCATTACCATGCTCATTACAACAGGAATTTTGCCTTTACATTACCTGAGAGCAGGGACATCCCTTTAACAGTGAAGTATGTTGAATCTTTGATAGAAATGCCTCTGTATTTGCAACATGTTCATAGTGGCTTCTCAAACTTGTCTGTTCAACAGTTGGAGCAGGACTCCAGAGGGAAGGAAAGAGGCTGGTTAGCAGAAATGTCGTTTCAGAGGGAGCTACTGGTATAATTTGTCTTTGGAAGCATGGATCTGGCAATACAAAGGTGCTCACAGCATGAACCCAGACAGGCAAAATTTCTGAAATAATCTTTGCTCAGTCTAACTTGGTGCTATAGTCAGACACATCCTGTCTCTCACACCAGACAGATGCATTGTGTTCTTGCATTTTAACCAAACATTATTACAAGTTAAAAACTATCTGCATAAAAATCGTCTGGATGAGATTTCTCATCTGCACAGGGTGTAGAAAAATTATATATACTTTGTGCTACATACTGATTTTTCTTATTCATGAATGACATTCCTGACATTTTGGGGATTTTTGAAAGTTAGAATGCCAGCTGGCACAGCATAATTAGACTTTGCTTCTTTGTAGTGGCTGATAGGGATACCCACCCTGTTTCATTTTATGCCAACTTCTGTTTCTTCCCCATATAAACTTGCTACAAGGCAGGTGGCACATAAACACTTATGTCAAAAATGTTTCTCAGGAAACTGAGATCCTGGAAGAAGTCTGTGTGCCACAGACATTGTTTAGAATTTTTTTAAGGCTTCATTGTGTGGGATTTAATTCAAATGTTCCATGTTTGATTCCCAAACACTACCTTTTGGACCTCAGCTGGCTGTGGGGTATCAGAAAGGGTTGCAAGAACTTTGCTTTACTGGCAACACTAAAGAAACAATTTTGATAAGAAGGTTAGCCAACAAATTTCCTTCTGTGGTTGCACACCAGAAATCAGCCAAGAAAATTGACTTATCTCAAGACTCAATTATGAATCAATTATGAAATTCTCAGCTGCATTGAAAATGGAATCTTGATTTTTTTACCCACTTGTGAAAACCTCCAACAAAAAAGTTTCTGCTTTGTTTTAGACATTGCTGGGAGTTGAACTGGGGTTCCTGCATCTCCCACCTCAGTGAGATTAGCCACACACTCCACTGTAGTCACTTGAAAAGAGGGAAGCTCAGGTTTGTTTTCACACAGATTATTTTCAAGGGATGTTCTTACTGCATCAATGTATGATGAAATCGTACCTCAGAACCTGCTTTGATATCCCTAAAGAGCAGAAACTGCATCCTGCAGCCCTGGATCTATGGAGGTAGAGAGAGGACACAGCTGTTGATTGGCCTGCCAAGACTGACCAAGCCTAGACACAGCAGGCATGGGATGTGTCAAGGTCAGGGATAGAGCCCAGCAGTACCCCATGTCATGTGTGCAGCCAAGTCCTTAACCCAGCTTTATGCAGCACTACAGCTGCAGATTGCCCCAAGCTGTTTCCAAGGAACATGCCGTGTAAGGGCTACTTCTTGTAAATCTCTGCATTATTTCCCAGTAAGTGCTGAGGTGGGCTGGTCATGGACTGTGACCAAGCCAGCAGCGACAGCTCTGCTGTTATCCTCAGTGCTTCTTTCTTCTCCTGGCGTTTACTCTGCCAAACACTGGGTGTTGAGACTCTTTTCAGCCACTCCATTGTCCATCTGTTTCTTTTGCAGGAGCTCATCACTGCTTGGTACATCGGGTTCCTAACACTCATCCTATCCTCATTTCTTGTTTATCTGGTTGAAAAAGATGTTCCTGAAAAGGATGCGAATGGTGTGGAGATGAAGGAAGAGTTTGAAACCTATGCAGATGCACTGTGGTGGGGGCTGGTAAGTGACTCCAAAAATACCTTATCCTCTTCTTAAAAACTTTATATCCAAGAGAAAAAGTATTGATGTTAAGGTTTACAGTATAAGTACTATTGCTAAATTTGGGTGAGGAGGAGGATGTTACTGGTATAACATTAACAAAGTAGGGATGCCCCTACAACCAATTAACAGAACTTATATCCCTGTTGATTTTCAGTCAAAGGTCCTTAGGTGCTTAAACCCCTTTCAGAAACCAGTATCTGTTCTCAGCTTCTTGGAAACCTCTCTGTTAGAGGAGTGTTTCTTTGGATATAACTGCAGAGCCTATACCTAGCCCTCATGACAGTAGTATCCTGCCTGTGATAGCTACATCCCTCAGAAAATGGCAAATCCAGAGCTGGACAAACTGGGAGTTGCTGTTGACTCTCTTAAGGGAGAATAGGCCTTGCAGAGGGATCTAGATAGATTGGAGCATTGGCCAATGATTAATGGGATGAAATTTAACAAGTCCAAGAAGCCTCTGGAAAGGATAACTCAACATTTCTTTGTGTGTTCTATGCATTCCCCAAGAATCACTCAGGGAGTGCCATTGCTGGTAGGATACTGAGACAGGTGGATATATGATACATCTGGTCTTGTCTTTTCTAATGAAGAATATTGGTTTGTGCCACTGCTCATTTGATCACAAAATATTCCTGCCACCTGATAGGCAAAATCCATATTGCTTTGCTACCAGTAGTTAGGGGAGTCTATATCAAACTGTGAATAAAATTCAGTATTTTTTATTAACTGCAATTCACTCATAAAAGGCAAGATCCCTCCCCACTATTATTAATCAAAAGGTGCCAAAGTGTTGCATAGAACATCTGGATATTTTCACACCCTTACATATCCAGGACCTTTAGGTAGAGTCTCACTGATGAGAAAAGGTACACAGCTGGTAATTAGCAATTGTGCAGGATAGGACTAAGTTTGCACAGTCATCTTTGGTTTACAGAGATTGAGACTTCAGGGAGAGGTAGCCCTGATTGTTTGTTGAAACTCTGCAAGCTGTAAATTGGCAAGTCCCATTCCTAACTGTGCACTGATGGTGGCCAGGAGACTCACTCTGCGTGCAATGTCACATGGAGTTCCCTTTCAGCAAGTTCATCCTGGAGAGGCAGCTGCTTTAAGACTAAGTCCATTCTTCCTGGTGCAATGCTTCTGGAATATGATGCTGGTAAAAAAAATTGGTTCACCCATTGTCAAGGTCTTATTCTAAGAAACTGTGCATGAGCACCCATAGAGCTAAATGAGTTATGCAGGTTTCATGGTGATGTTTAAAGGAGAGCTGTTGGCTTTGGTTTTCTTATGGGAAGTCTGGTCATTCTGCCCACAGATCACCCTCGCTACGATTGGGTATGGTGACAAGACCCCCAAAACATGGGAGGGACGACTGATTGCAGCTACATTCTCTCTCATTGGAGTGTCTTTCTTTGCTCTTCCTGCAGTAAGTACTTTCCTTTTCCATTAGGCACAGCCCAGCACTGTGCACTTGCAAAAAGAAGGTGCAAAACTGCCAGTGGAATCCAAATCACTTCTTAAGTGATTCAGACACTCGAGCTGGTTTATATCAGTAGATCAAACTCCTTTCTTCCCAACTTTGCATAGAGCTTGTTGGAAATAATAAGTCATTCTGATACTCCTCGAACCAAGTGTTGGCATTTTCTGAGACAGTGCTCATCGACAACAGGACAAAATTAATCCAGCAAATGAACAGTCTAGGAAATCACTGGGCAGTTCATGAGCCTGTATCCTGGCCTGGGTTAGTTACTGGTATTGACAAAGCCGTACAACATGTATTTTTAAAGGATTTAGAGCCCATTTTTTTAATAATTAGGGTCGGGCCTATCTTACACACCTCTAAACACCTGCAAACTAGAAATCTGCATCTGAGTGATCATCACAGATCAGTGGTCATCCCTTAAAACCAGTGCAGCTTTTCAGAGCATTTCATCTCACCTGTTTACCTTCCTTCCTAGAGGAGATCTATGAAACCACTACAGAAGTGCGGGTTTTATTCACTGAGAGTAAAGGGAATTTAGATAGCAGGTGACAATACAGGTTTTTTAATGTATCCAGGTGAATCCTACCCTGGCTGCATAAGAAACTATTTCTAAAATGCTTTTGAAAGTATATTTGTTCTCCTGTGCCAAATATTTTCTTTGTTTGCAAAGTCCTCAAGTCAGAATGAGACAAGATCGGGTGACATGGGCTGAATAGCAACAGAAGGCATCCCAAGTCCAGATTTTGGGACATTTTTCCTTTGATCATCACAGAGGATGAGGAGTCCCACACACCCAAGTCCAGAAAATGGTTAGCATAGCTTTTTTGTCAGACAAAGAGTTTTACTCTACCCTGCGTGGAAGGTAATATACCACCTGGGCACCTCCAGCTTGGAAAGGCAGTAGACATTCAAGAAGCCTGTTGAGGACCTTGAAATGATTTGTTGTGGCCTCTGGCGCTTGAGAGGACCACAACAAACTCATGTGTCATGAGCAGAGCAGTGGGAAAGGCATGCTGTATTGCATGGAAATCCCACGTAGCCATCTCCATCTCCACTCACAGGCCTGTTTCCTCTCATCATTAATCAATGTTTTCTGAGAAAGAACTGTCTAAAATCTTGCATCACTCTGTGCTTTCAGGGCATTTTGGGGTCAGGACTGGCACTGAAGGTCCAGGAGCAGCATCGTCAAAAACATTTTGAGAAAAGAAGAAAGCCAGCAGCTGAACTCATTCAGGTTTGCAGCCACTTCTTCCTTCCTTGAAAAAGTGTATGAAGACTGCTCCATGATGTTAACAAAGGCCTCTGTTCTCCCCTGCCCAAATTCTCTTTTCCCATTGCAGGAAGTGAGTAGCTGTGCTTGTAAAGGAGACAGCTTTTTCACATTGGGCTAGATAATGGTTCTTGCAGTTTTTAAGGAATCTTTCAATTCCCAGAATATCTTTTGGAAGAAAGGTGTCTTTAAAAGAAAAGCTCTCATCTGCTAGCTTCTGGAAACCAACAAAGTTCTGCAGCAGTGCCACAAAATCACAGAAAACAAGCTGTTCAAAACATTTTCTTCCCAAAATCCAGGTTTTTTTCAGTTTCCTTGAGAGAGTGCTTTTATGTGCAAACAAAGTTATGTTGTTACTGATGTGAAAACAGCAATAGAAGTAACACAATAGTCTCTTTCAATCAAGGCAAACAATGTAAATAGTATGTGTGGGTTTGTAAAAACTGTAACCTGTCCTGGATCTTTTGTTATGTCACTGAATGATCAGAGGATTCAACGGGAAGAGACTCCTTAGCTCACTTGTGGCCTTTGTTATGAATTCAGAAAATCAAGCTTAAAATAGCTAGTCTGGAGGCTGACAAATGCGACAGGAGTTACTCCTAGTAGGTGTGGAGTGTACCCTGATGGCGAGGAAGTAAATGTCACCATTTCCACAGAGGGAGAAAGTTTCCATGATATCAGATGGAAGTGTTGGTGCTCAGGACTGCTCAGGATTAAACCAGTCCTCAGGAGAAACAGGCTGAGCGGCATATTGTGCCGTTGTCACTAAATACACTCCGTAGCAAACAGCAAGGGCTGCAGGGATGAGTGGTGAATTGAAAGATGCTTTTAAATTAAAGCATCTCCACTTAGCAGGTAACTAATTTAGCTACAGGATTTTTTAGGTATGTGCTTAGAGAATTTTGATTGGCCCTAAATGCTGAAATAGAAAATTGCTCAGCAAAATTTCCTCTGATGGTACATTAGATAGTAAATGAGCTTAAGCACAAATCAGTATTCAGCAGTGCTTGAAGGTCTTTTTGAAATACCAGACAGGAGAATAAAACAAGTTTAGTCAAATGTAATGCCTTAGTGATGTTGGTGGTTCTCTCTCATGTCACAGAATCATAGAATCATTAGGTTGGGAAAGACCTTTAAGAGCATCAAGTCCAACCATTAACCTAACACTGCCAAATCCACCACTAAACCATGTCCCTAAACACCAGATACACACGTCACTTAAATACCTTCAGGGATGGTGACTCAACCACTTCCCTGGGCAGCCCATTCCAGTGTTTGACAACCCTTTTGGTGAAGAAATTTTTCCTAATATTCAATCTAACAGCCCTCACAGCTCCAATGTCAATAATTTCACTCTATAGTGACACTCACTTGGTATGGTTGATTAGTAAGTAATTTCCAGATAGTCATTCAGGTGCATCGTTAGGTTATCTGAAATGATCTGGCTGCTGTCAGCCTGGGGAATAGCTTTACCTAACACTAATTATTTCCTCTCCCTTGTAATTCAGGCTGCCTGGAGATACTATGCTACTAACCCCAACAGGATTGATCTAGTTGCTACCTGGAGGTTTTATGAATCAATTGTGTCATTTCCATTTTTCAGGTAAGTGCGTTCTGCACCTTCCATCATCATTTTCTGTGAAGCATAAGTCAAGACAGGAAACAAAGACTTTATATATGTCAATAAGGCTTTTGTAGGTAATAGAGTTGCCAGTTAACTTCCTGGCTGAGACTGAAAAACATGCTTTTTCGGCTTCTGGATCCATTTCTTTTCCCTTCCCCTCGTGGGATATATTAGGGGAATGTATAGCTCCATCAGTGGCTTTCATGTTTGCATTAAACAGAGAGAAGGCTGCCTCACTGTCAGTTTCCCTTTGTAAGACTGAAGTTTATTGCCCCGGAAATCTCAATTTCTCCTTCAGTAATTTTGATCCTGATAAAGTTTTAGTCATGGATTTCACAGGTGCCTGTACTTCTCACATCCTCTATGATGCAGTTGTGTATTTTGAGATATGGGCAATGCAGAAAATTCTTACTTTTCCCTCCTGGACTCAAATGGCCTGAGACTTGTGCTGTTCAAAGAGGTGGCCGTGGCATACGAATGTAATTAACGTTTGTTAAATGCTTGTCTTTTGGCAGTACATGTTGCTCAAGGGGTTCATTCAGTGGAGGACAGCCAAAGCATGTTCAAAACTGTCTCCCACTGAAACTAACTGAGAATTCACAAGAAAACATTTTGGGGAAATTGAGGTCATGGTTATATTTTAATCAACACTTCTGAGTTCAGTGGAAAGCATTCCATACATACAGACATTCAGATTTAATGGACACTCATATATTTATGGATATGAGTGTCTGATCCTCACTTTTGTGCCTGTCAAACAGGCACTTTCTTCACCTTGAGTTCTTAGCATTTTAAAATGTTGGCCCTATGAAAGCCAAGACTTTTAGCTACAGACTATAAACTGCTAATAATGGTCATTACTTATCCAAGTTTAGGCTTTCAACTTTCATTCTGGGCTGGCTTTTATGCCTCACTCGGAAAAAAAGTTTCCTTAAACTACTGCTCAGCTCAGAGATCTCCACATGTAAGTTGTGCTCACTCTGCTAATACTGTAGCTCCAGCTGTTGCTCAGAATTGACTTGAAGAAACATTTCAGGCTCCTGCCTCACAAAGGACAAATTACACATACTAACTTTTTGTTTTAGTCACAACATGTTTTTTTGGGATTGATTTCACATCTATCAGAAAGGAAATCTCTAAGAAAAAACACCACAAGTATTTAATTAAGGCTCAGTACATTTCTGTCCTTTTCTTTATCCCTTCTCACTCTCTATCTATGCACACATCCATTATTTCTAGTCATTTCTAGGGGGTTTCTTGACCTCAAGCTTTGTTCAGTGAATAGTTCTCAGGCTCTCCTGGAGTCTAGACTCATTACTGTGACTTCAAGCTTGTTCACTGTATGTAGGTTCTTCTGTGATTCAAATAAGACCTGAAATTTAATAGGTGTTTTGCAAATAAGGTCCTGGGAGAGAGGGCAAGGGTGTTTACTTCTCACCGAAGACTGGATTGCCAGTCTAAGCAGCACAGATTAATTTCAGGAACCTGTAACGCTTTCTTTGGTTTATGGCTAGTTGAAAATGTAGCTTTTATTCTGCTGTCAGTTATGGTCACAGAACAAGAGAGGTATAAATCATTAGCAAGAAATTAGCAGTTTCTGATTTTAAAAATCTGCTGAATTTATTATGTAATTCATCTCTCCTTGCTTTCTTGCAATGCTTCCTTTCTTCTATAAAAGGAAAGAGCAATTGGATGGTACTGCCAGGTACGTAGCTGCCATTATTGTAGCCTTGTTTTAATATGGTTATTGGAGGATGCAGGTTAAATGGTTCCTTGTCGATTCATGAGCTGTTAACCAAAACATGCTACTAACATCACAGGTAGTCACTAAAAATTATTAACCAATCCATTTCCTAATTGCTTGCATATTCCCCAGTTTAACAACATAGCTAAAATGCTTATTGTACAAATGCAGTGTTGCTTGCTGATTGTCTGTAAACAGCTTTATTGTTCGTTATGATTAATCATGGTCTAGATTTCTCCTGATCCATGCCATAGGATTTAGGATCCTGGTTGTCCTGGGGTGAATTCAAAGTTCTGTTTCATGCTATTGCTCAACAGTCCTGCACAGCAATGTTGTGGTGTAAGGGATCAAGTCTGTGTCAATTCATCCTGTGCAAAGATTTCTTCATAAGAAAGAAGGGTGGCTACTATTGATAAGCAGGATAGTCAGTCTCTCTGGCAGTATTATGAAAGCTACAGTAGGTTTGAGACCTTGGTCCTAACCCTGCTGAAACAGATGGGAATGCTCCCAGTCCCTCTGGGGAATTTACAAGCAAAGAAAATGAAGGAATCATGGATCCTAATACTGATCAGTCGCTGAAGACTACAGCAGAGCAGTCATTGTCAGTCAGTCTGCACGGTCTCAAATGGAAATGCTATGTTTATAACCCTCTCCAGCTAATTTGCAGATTCAAAAACACATAAGATAATTGAACTTCTTAGGTCAAAAATGTGAAATAGTTAATGCTAAACTGCTATCAATGGATCACCTACAATGAAAGTCAATAGAAATTAAAAGATAAATAGTTCCACAGACTTGTGCTGAAGCTACTTCCATTTGCATCCCCATTTACAGCGCAGAGAAAAAGAGCAAGAACTGTAGCAAAATTTGAAAAATATTTGTCAGAGAACAGGCCTGGGTTCCAGTCTCTCTCCTGATGATCAGTTCTCTTTTTTTTTTTTTTTTTTTTTATATGTTTCATGCAACACATGACAGCTGCTTTAAAGGAAGCTATGAAGAAAGATAGAAAAAACCCTATCACAAGTTTTTGTACAATATAGGCAAGTGCTGTACTACTGTATTATTGGGAAAAATTACTTCCTGCCATCATAAGCTAACTCCTCTTCTTCAAAGACTGCCTGGTTGGGAGTACCTAGTTTGTGAACACTCGTGAACCTTAAGTACTGAACATCCATGGCACTGCCCAAGCTGAACAGTCATAAGGAAGCTCAGCTGCGTTAACATAGATGTCTGGAGATTTTAGCCATCTCCAGGGTAGGTAACAGCTGATTTTTGGCATTTAATATGTAGGAGACAGCTTAGGAGCTGAAATCCTTTTGAGTATGTTACTCCATTCCTTGAGCCAAAACATATTCTGACTCAGATGCAGTAGCAGATTAAAATTAGGGAAGTGAATGATTGCTGCAGTTTTCTGTCAGTCACAGCCACTCTAGAGAAGCTTCTGCACCTGCAGTGACAGAGCAGTTTGTGGAGTAGCTTCTGAGTTACTGTATCCTTCAGGCCAGTAAAAGAAGTCATTTTATGTTGAAGCACTGGATTAAAAAATGAGAAGTATTACTCACAGCCCACAATCTTTAAAACTGTAATTGCAAGGCCCCTCATTCTAGCTGTATATATCTTGCTTTTACATTGTTACACACGTAATAACCTTCAAAAAAATCATCGGTAAAGCTGCATTGGAACCTTCCTGTTAGCAGGTATGTGTTTATGGGAATAAGCATTCAATAAGAGGGATTAGAAATCCTTCAGGTGAACAGAAAAATGATGGTACTTGTGAGAGCATCCACTGACTTCAGTAGACATGGGACTGAGCCATAAAATATGGTTGTTTTGACAGTCCCACCTCCCATCTCTCATAAAATTCTTATTTACAGGCCAGATAATAATAATTAAAAAAAAAATCCTCTTCCTCCTACAGTGATATAGTGATTAGTGATTTAGTATAACTTGTACTCCACTGCAGTTTGTGTTTAATGCTGTATTGAAATAAATAAGCAATAAGGGAATGCAGTCCTAGCGGAGACAACAGCCCATAAGTGCACTCAGTCTCCAGGTTCTTGCATCAGTTAAGTGCTTAATAGGAAAGCTGTAATAATAAACTGCATTGTCTGAACAGTTGTTGATAACGGAGAGAGAAGAATTGGGCCAAAGCTTTCGCAGAAGAGTCAGAAAATGTAACTGGTTAACAAACTAAAAATGAGGCCTGGCTGTGTGAAAACTTGAGGCTGGGTAGCGTTTTAAGTGGCAGGGTTTCTATTCTATGGTGCAAAAGCTCTTTAGGAACTCCAATAGTAGTAGTTGCACTCTGTGACAGATCCTTCTAGGATGTCTCCTTGGAAGCAGGAGCTGGCATCATGATGAAGTCTCAGCTAGATGGAGCTCCTTGTTCTTAGACCATTTGGGAAAAACACACAGAAGACAACAGAGTTTAAAAGTCCATCTCAGAAGTTGGATCCCAAAGCAAGGCAGCAGGGAAGAACTTGTGATAGAAGAAAGCTGATTAAAGTTTGGCAGCAGCCCAAGGCTTTATTGAAGCTCCCTTTCCGCTGCAACTGAGATGTGAGACATGGTGAAGAGCACGTAGGACTACCCTTGAACTAGACAGTAGGCTGGGTGCTGTAGGCAGCAAAGGGAAGTGGTACATAATGGTCTGTTAAGAATAGCATTCTCCCTACATACCCTGTATAGTCCCCCAAACCAAGAGAAACTGGGGCTGTGCCATTCATTGCTCCCTAGTAGGGAGTTCACTGACTTTATACCAGAGATGCCAATAGCTTTTTCTTCCTTAATCAATGCCTTAAACTACCAGCACATGAAATCTCAGATAACAATTGCCCTTCTGCATGTATTGCAAGGCCTTTTCGTCTGTTTAGCTCCCAAGAGGAAGATTTATGAGACAGATCTATTAATGTCCAGTTCTGCTGGAGTGCAGCAAATAGTTCAGCAAATGTTTGGCTGCTTGACCTACATTTCCCAGCCTTTAGGATGGACCTTTGCTTGACAGACATATTGTTTATTTTTCTATCCGTGTTTGAGGAAGTTTTCTGGGGCCTGTTTATTCAGTACTGTTGTTAGCAGTGGTTCCATTGATTTCAACTAGTGTAAGAGTTTTGAATCACTTGTATGTACAGGCACTTCAGCGAACGTTTCTGAACTTTCTTCTAGGGTCTTCCTCCTAATCAGCATTTTCCAGCTGTAGAAGCAGACATCGAGAGATCCTGTTCATTCCTAGATCTCTTATTAAGGGATTGCAGAAAAGTTATTTATCCCTGTTTCCTTAGCTCTACAAGATAAATAATATTACTCTACCATTAGAAAGTTAGTTTGATTGAAGTGGCAGAATTGGTACTAGTCTTCCCTATTATGTGAGTATGAAAGAACGCATATAATGTGGTGCATTATTGTATTGCCAGTAGTAACAGTGTAATGAAACTAAAATCATACTTTGCAAGGTGGAAAATTTCACTGTCAGCATTTCTTCTTAATGCATCTGCCCAAAACAGGAAGATGGAAAAAGCCACTCTGATCTGCAGACTACATTAACTACAAATGAAAGGCTGTTCCCATTCTTTTTCATAGAGCTTTTCATGGGTAATCATTAACGTCTCATCTTAATAACTTTTCTTCACTTTACAGTAATATCATGTTTAGTAGGGAGTCATTCTTTGGATCAAGCCTCACAAGAAAACTTAGGTATATACATTCAAGTAACAATTGAGCGTTACTCTGTTCATATTTCTTGCATGCCATTCTCTGCCTGCACTTTCTGTTTTTACTACAGTAGTTCATCTAAACACCATAAAAAGTAAGGGGAGATAAGACTGAAAAGTTATTTAAGCATAAAAATGAAGTTGCATGACCTTGCAGATAGTTCATTGTTCTGCTGTTCAGAAAACATGGGATCTAATCCTGGCTCTACCAATGATCTGTGTAGAAACAAGTGCTTTTCGCTGTTTTCATAGAATGGGAATGATACTAACCTACTATGCAAATCACTTAGAAATTTACTGTAAGAAAAATATACTTTAAGAGCTAAATACCTTATGCAGTCCCAACCTTGCCAACACAAATTCATGCAAGTCGCTTTGCATTTGAGTTCAGTAGAACAACATCTCTGCATGTGTATTTGCAGGTTCTGGTTTAGCAAATGGAAAACAAGTGAATGCTTTTGATCATCTGAATAAGTTAGTGACATGCTTAAATACCTTGCTGAACTGTGACTTAAGGCGTCAGGCAAGACTTTATCTTCCTGCAAAGAAACATTAAAATAATTTGTACCATTTCGGGACTCTGAAAGACATATCATCAGAAATGCTAATATTTTGACTAAATTGTCAATCATTTTATTCCATCCCACACAAACTTCTTGCTATTATTCAACTTTGGCTCATTGTTCTCATTCCCACTTCATTCCACAAACGTGAAATCATCAATACACAACTCAGCTTTCCTAGCCTAAGCTCTTCAACTTTTGTAGAGCTGCTAGTGAAACACTCCATTTTTATATTGGATGATTGGCCCATGCAAAATATCCAAGAGACATTGATTTTGGAGTTTAGTTGGCTTTCTAGTTGTTGGTACATGGAGATATGTTCACTGCAAAGTATAGTGGCTTAACATCCATATGGTTTCTACCTACATTGCTGGCTACATCCGTTGGTGAAAAATATCCATCCTGTTTCCACAAATAATTGGATTATTCTTCACATTCTTATTTTTAACCATTTCCAATCACTTTAGAAAGTGTGGATGAGAATAGGGGCTGAGCAAAGGGCTTTACTGTGCATAAGGACTCTTTCTTTATGAGGAGCATCAAAGTTGATCCTATTAGGACTTGTGTTCATGTTTCTGGGCAAATAATCTGGATGGTAGGTGAGTTTAGATTTAGAGTCATGCCTACAATTAAATACCATTGAGGACATAGACTACCAGAGAGTGTGGAAATTGGTTGGCTAAAAGGG